AGCTTGCTTTGACAAAGAATTGCGAGTATGTTTCATTAATCAAATCATAAAATAAATAAAGAATAATTTTAGAAAGCCTGATTAAAAGTCTAATATTAAGTGGGCTAGTAGTCATATTCTTTAAAGGGGAGGTGTTAAAATATAAAGTCTTGAATTCTACACTTAAAGCACTATTAATTCTCCATCTCTAAAAATTTCTTAAGTTCAATTAAAAAAAAAAAGGTGTGACTAAAAGAGTTTCAGCTTCTTACTATTATTTTTGTTCAATTTTAATATTCATTTAAATTTTTAATTTTTTTAAAAGTATAATTGTATTAATAATTAAAACAACTATAATGTAAATTATTCCATACTATATAGTTAATTTTCATAACATGTTGGATAATTAGACATTGAGAACCTAAATATCAATATATATCATAGGGTATCAATAGAGTTACGTAAAAATATAGAAAAATATGGGTATGAGGCTGGAAATTGGTGTAACTGGGTAAAAGAAGGGAAGAGTGCAAGGTCAAACTGGTGGAAAGATTTGTGTAGGTTAGATGTACTAGAGGAGAATAGAAGGGGTCGGCTGTCAGGGGGCTTCCAGATTAGGATCGATAATGGAGAGAAAGTTAGTTTTTGGAAGGATTCATGGAGTAATATTGGAGTGCTTGCTAATGTTTTTTCGAGATTATATATGCTTTCTACAAGGAAAGACAACACAATTGATCAGATGGGTAGATGGGAAGACAACAAATGGGTTTGGAACCTTTCTTGGAGACACCCACACTTTTGGGGGCAAGATTCCATGCAAGATTTCAACAAACTTCTCAAGGAAACCAACCTGACCATAAGGAAGCAAGACACTTCGACTTGGGAACGAGATAAGTTGGGTGATTACTCTGCAAGTTCAGGATACACTACTTTGGTCCAACATTAACCCTCACCATGCTAACAAGTTTTTGAGAAGATTTGGAACCCCCTTATTCCTCACAAGTCAAAAGTCTGTGGATTCACTTGGCTACTACTAATTGACAGGATTCCCTTGAAATTCAACTTGCTAAAAAGGGGATTAATTAAGGAGATGGAGGCTGTTAAGTGTAGCTTTTGTGGACGGGAATGTGGAAGACAGCAACCATCTTTTTCTCTACTGCTCGGTTAATGAAAAAATTTGGACAATGTACTTCGAATGGTGGGGTTTCTCCACTGCAGTTGTTGGTTCATGTTGGGATTCTTTCATCCAACATGAATCCTTAGCTACAAAATGCAATGAACTACTGGGTTGGATTATAGTGTGGTTTTCTCTTGTCTGGACCATCTAGACTACCAAGAAAGAGATAATCTTTAGAGGTAAATCAATGGATTTGACAAAGACTTTTGATCAAGTTCAAGCTCAAGTCTTCCTTTGGGTCAAGAACAAAGGAAAGGAAGTACATTTCTGCTTCTTTGACTGGATCTTAAACCCCAAGTGCTGCAAGTTTTTGTAAATGGGTCTCCCAATGCTATACTATTTTTGGTTCTTCATTCTAATAGGGATTGACTAATGTATGTAGGTTTGAGTACAGGGATACTCATTTAATTAACTCTTTTGCCTTTTAAAAAAAAAAAGACTTTTTATTTGTTATTGGTAATTATATACATTTTACTATTCAGTCCTAATACAAGAGATCAAGAGACATAATGATCTAGTATCTCTTAATACTACAATGGTTTTTCAAAACTCAGATGAACTTCTAATCTTTAGATAGATGAAAAACAACCATTTGCATTGCTTTCACAAAACTTGAGTCATCATGCCTCATCCTAGGTGCCCTTCCATTCTCAAATGCAACAACAGTTGAATTCCAAGGCAAATTCTATAATATTCTATCCAAATCATAGCTATATGTAATTGAACTTTCTCACCAAGTTCCCTGACTTGCCCATTAGATTTGGTTTTCTATGAGGATGCAATTGAGCTCCATAGGGTCGTAAGATTAAGCCTTTTGTGAGTATGAATGTTCCTAATAAAGCACAACGATTTAGTTGAGATATAGTCGAATTGTTCTAGGCGCTTGCAGGGGAAAGCTTGGTAATTTCTTTCTCAAATTGCTAGATCCACTTGGGGAGAAAACCCATGCTCTTTAGCTTTTGCGCCCAGGAATGCTGCCTCCCATGCGCAGCCTCTTTCACCATTCTAGCCAAACATTGTTTGTGCGTTTACGGGTCTTGTAGTTGCTCCAGTGGAGTAAGGTTGGAGTAGTGTGGTTGAGGTAAAACAAGAATCGTATGGCACTTGGAGAGAGGTGTAGGAAGGCAACAACTGTGAGCCTTATGTGCCATCTAGGTTGCTGCTGAGGGGAAGAAAGAAGAAGAAAGAGGGGGCTCCTAACTTGAGGAGAAAAAACCCTAGGGAGAGCTTAACCTCACTCTAATTAGAATTAGAGGCAACATCAAAAGTAAGGTATCGTTGAGAAATACTTTTTAGTATTTTAGTTTTTATTTTTTTATAGTTTTAAAAATATATAAAAAAAACTATTTAAAATATATTATATATTTTGTTGAGATATTAAAAAATTATAAAACCTACTGCTGCCACTATAATTTAGCTCTATCAAATTAGACCTAAATTTTCAACTTTTCAAACATTAATTGCCAATAAAAACTTAACACTGGAGTAATATATAAACAACAATTCAATTTCATTTTTTCACAACAAAAAATAACCTAGTAGTTAAGAAACATAGCTAACAGTTGGAAAATAGCTTTCATTCCTTTTCTGTGCTTTCATAATGACACTGACATGGACCTCCAGGCCTCCACATATAATTCTAGCTCCCCTACTTTATCATTAAAGCCTCCGAAAGAGACTAAGCTCAGATTTATTTCGCACCTAATTTACTCTCTCTTTCTTATATTTTTTAAATAACAATTATCTACTACAATCATTATATATTTTAATAAAAAATAAAATTTTAATAGAAAATAAAAAAATTAAAAATTAAATATAATACACTTCAATAATACTTATACTTATAAAATAAAATGGAGTGTTATCACCACAACCAACGCATATATAGACCCTCTCTCTTCCATTTTACTCTTGCTTTCTTCGCAATTTCCCCTTTCCTTAGTCCCGCGTCAACCCCTAACACTGTCGAGTGGATGACTGTTGGCTATAAATGATTGGACAACAACGCACCGAACGCCCCAAATCAATCAGAGGCTGGCAATTTAACTTCCAAGTACAGATCTTAGATCAGTAGACATTTGCAGGAGTTAAGAGATGGGTACGGGAGAAATCAAGTCGCCTGAAGGTCTATCGGAGACCCCTTCTGCTCTGGGTGGAAACTTTGATTCTGTTCGGGGGAAGAAACTTGAGGTTCATTTCATGGAATCTGATAAACAGAGGATGGCGTTTGGGCATGGATATACCGGAGGAACAACGCCGGTTAATATCCAAGGGAAGCCTCTTTCCGATGAAGATCTCTCCAAGACAGGCGGATGGATTGCCGCCTTCTTTATTTTTGGTAAAAACCAATTCTTTTTATTTTTCTCTATCAATTTCACTAATTAGCCCTGTTTGGTTGCTGAGAAAACTTGGGAAAGATAATCTGGGCATGAAATCATGATTTTTTCATAATGAAACTGAACTCTGTTTTTTCCAGGAAATGAAATGGCAGAGAGAATGGCTTATTACGGTCTTTCAGTCAACATGGTAACATTTATGTTCTATGTAATGCACAGATCTTTTTCTAGTTCCGCAAATGCAGTAAACAATTTCCTTGGAATTTCACAAGCATCCTCTGTTCTGGGAGGTTTTCTAGCTGATGCTTATTTGGGTCGATACAAAACAATCGCGATTTTCACCACAATCTATCTTGTTGTAAGAAGATTAACCTACTACCCTTCACTTTCTCTGCAATTTTCGTGCACTTTCTTCCTGAAGTTGTTCTCTGTTTTTCTTCCCTGTAGGGTTTGATAGGGATAACAGTGAGTGCGTTCTTAGATGTTTTTATGCCGAACCAAGAACATTGCGATTCGCTTGCCCGGCTTCTGGGTGGATGCGAGCCTGCAAAGCCATGGCAGATGCGTTACCTCTATACAGTTCTTTATTTGACCGGATTCGGAGCTGCTGGAATAAGGCCCTGCGTTTCTTCCTTTGGGGCTGATCAATTTGATGAAAGAAGCAAAGATTACAAGAGGCATCTGGACAGGTTTTTCAATTTCTTTTACCTTTCAGTCACTATTGGGGCAATTGTGGCCTTCTCTTTGGTGGTCTATCTTCAGAGAGAAAAAGGCTGGGGGTATGCCTTTGGTTCATTGGCTATAGCCATGGGGGTATCAAACTTGTTATTCTTCGCCGGTACTCCTTTATACCGGCACAGATTGCCCGGAGGCAGTCCGTTAACACGAGTCGCCCAGGTCCTCGTAGCTGCCTTTAGGAAGCGAAATGTCTCTTTTACCAGCAGTGAGATGATTGGCCTGTATGAAGTTCCTGGCAAACATTCTGCTGTAAAGGGTAGTGGAAAGATAGCTCATACTGAGCATTTCAGGTATATATTGCAAATAATTAGGTATTCGCGTCAGGCACATAACCCCAGGTCTATGTAACATAGTTTCTAAACTTTCTGGAGCTGCAGGTGGTTGGACAAGGCGGCTCTACAGCTGAAGGAAGACGGTAGCAATCCAAGTCCCTGGAGGCTATGCACTGTGACTCAAGTAGAGGAAGTAAAGATACTTATAAAGCTCATTCCAATCCCAGCTTGCACAATAATGCTCAGTGTATTCTTGACAGAATATCTCACTCTCTCAATACAACAAGCGTACACCTTGAATACTCGCATGGGTCATCTCAAACTCCCGGTAACCTGCATGCCTATATTTCCTGGCCTTAGCATATTCCTCGTACTGTCTGTCTACTACTCTGTATTTGTTCCCCTGTCTCGCCGCATCACTGGCCACCCCCATGGTGCCTCCCAGCTTCAGAGGGTAGGCATTGGTCTGGTAGTCTCAATCATATCCGTTGCATGGGCCGGCGCTTTTGAGAAATACCGGAGAGACTATGCAATAAAGCATGGGTATGAATTCAGTTTCTTAACCCCTATGCCGGGGCTAAGTGCGTACTGGTTGCTGATCCAGTACTGCCTAATTGGAATAGCTGAAGTGTTCGGCACTGTGGGGCTACTAGAGTTTCTCTATGAGGAGGCCCCGGATGCAATGAAGGCTATAGGCTCTGCTTATGCTGCCCTGGCTGGTGGCTTGGGGTGTTTTGCAGCGAGTGCCTTGAACAGCATTGTGAAATCCGTCACGGGGAGCCAAGGGAGAAGGGAGTCATGGCTGTCTCAGAACATAAACTCTGGTAGATTTGATTACTTCTACTGGCTGCTTGCCGTTCTGGGTGTAATTAATTTCTGCATTTTCCTATACTCAGCTCATAGGTACAAGTACAGGACATAATAAGTGTTCTAGAAAGGAAAAAACAAGCAAAAAATTCCATCTTCAGGATCTAATAGAAAACCAGAATCAAAGCTACTCTTCTACATTAGTTTCTACGTCCTACAACCGTGAAAAAAATAGAAGTGTGAGACTAATCTTGAATGCAGGCAAGTCTATTTGCTAAAAATCTCTAAAGTACAAGGATTTATTTATTTTTGTACAAATTACAATTTTGGGGAGGGATATTCAAACCAACCCAAAACTGAAGTGCACCATTCAATATAGTTTATGTTTAATAGTCATTTGGCTTTGAAGGCCAGGTGCAAGCACAAGGATTTAATTAAGGACAATGATTCATCCATACTATCTCGTTACACATCCGTTACACACTAACAGTTTTTGTTATATACATTGACGGTCTCTAACTCTTCGCTGCCCAACCCTTTCTTTCTCTCTCTCCTTTGCTTTTTCCTTCTTTTTGTTCATCGTCCTCACCAAATCCATCTTCCTCCTCACCACCATCTTTATACTAATCATCTGCAGGCCAATTCCAGACTAGATTCCTCGCTTCTTCCGC